TTTTCCCAGACGAACGTACACTTCACCTTAATAACCGTGAAATCCAGGCCAATCCGGTGTATGACAAAATTTATGGCCGAAATTAATTCCCAAAATATTTTGAATGCAAAAATTTTTTGCGTATTAATAACAGTTTGAACGTCAAAGGCCTGGGGATATCCTTGAAACGGGCGAATTAGGCACGTTTTAAGCTGTAATAATGTAAAGTTGGGCTGAGTTTAGAGTAGAAAAGAACATAATATGACTTGTGGAAACATAATATGCCATGTTTTTATGTTTTTTTGCAAAAATATTTTTTTAGAAAAAATTGTTTGGCTAATGGCTGCAAATTTTAAAATAAAGTATGGCATGATAGAGGACTGTAAAGAAAAGGCATGAATGGTTTAGTACGGAAGGGTGGAGTACAAACCAAAGAGCAAAATGACGTTAATTGTGGTAAAGAACAAAAATGGTATGGTAGAGTAAAGTAAGGGCAAGAGTAGAGTAAAAGTATGAGTTAGGGTGCTAAAAATAATGCTAAAGATAATGCTAAGCCTAAAGTTAAGACTAAGAATAAAGCTATGCTTACTTTAGAACTGTGGCTTGGACTAAACCTATTGCTAGCACTAGGACTAGTACTAAGTTTAAAGCTAAGGTTAAATTTAAGACTAAGAATGGTACTAAGTCTAAAGATAAAGCTAGAGTTCTGGGCCTGGGTGAGGGCTCTAGGCTAGGGCTCTAAGATAGGATTCTGGGCTAGGGCTCTGGGCTAGGGCTCTGGACTAGGGCTCTGGACTAGGGCTCTGGACTAGGGCTCTGGACTAGGGCTCTGGGCTAGGGCTCTGGGCTAGGGCTCTGGGCTAGGGCTCTGGGCTAGGGCTCTGGGCTAGGGCTCTGGGCTAGGGCTCTGGGCTAGGGCTCTGGGCTAGGGCTCTGGGCTAGGGCTCTGAGCTAGATCTCTAGACTAAGGCTAAAAATTTAAAATTCAAAAAATTGAACAAGTTGGTGGTTTACAAATAATTAGCTAAACTCTGCCGCGCCTCCGCAATAAAATGATCAAAAATAAATAACAAACTTCTCGGATGACAACCAAAACGACACCAATGACAATATTAATATAAACGTCTGAACGGAAGTTGCGTCTAAAATTGTCTCTTTGAATCATAAAAAATGGCACAACCTAGCCTTTTTTACACCTTACTAGGCAAGCCCGATCTTAACTTATCCACCCCTTATGCCGTATCCTGCTCCAAGCTCTAAATTTCCCTTGACAATGGAAACGGACTAGACCGGCCTAGAAATTTAAACTTATCCCGGTTTGATCCGCATGTCTACTTTTACCATGTTTACAAAAAAAAAGTTTCAAAAATGCTTTTCGGCCGAAAAAAGTTGCAAATTCCAACAATAACGGCAATTGAAATCACCATAAGAGAACGGAAGTGGTGTTTAAACTTCTAGAAAACAATTATATGTCTTAAAAACGTTTTTAAACGTGCTGCTTTGTTGCCTTATGACAAGGTAATAGTCCTATGAGTCAATAATCAAAAATATAAAAAAATTTAAATTTTTTTAAAATTTAAAACTAAAAAAAAATTTACAGGACCTACCCTACCCTACCGTACCCTACCCTACCGTACCCTACCCTACCGTACCCTACCCTACCCTACCCTACTCTACCGTAAAAATATGGCCAGACTTCTAAAATTTACCCTGCTCTCTATGTACTTTTGAATACCCTACCCTCTATCAAGTACCCTAGCTTTTTAAATATAAATCTAGGCATGAGAAACGGGCCGGGCCCAATTTTTTTTACGTATAAACAAACCGGATCGGGACAGAATGTTAAGCCCGGTCCGATCGAAATTTTGCTCGAGTCCGGCCCCACCCTATGGCAAGCCCAGGCCGGCCCGTTTCTAATGTATGTATCAATCTACTTCTGCTTTCCATAACCCACCCCAAAATTTGAAAATCGACCTCTACCTAATGAAAGCTACATACTTTGCCAGAGAACAACCGTAGCGACGTCCCTGTATGCACTATAAAGTGTACCCTACCATTAAAAACCTACTCCTACTTTAAAAATCATAAGAAAATCACCCAAGAATTCAATAATCCCCCCCCCCAAAAAAAACCATTTTCATCACCCCTTTCCCCCTCCCCCTCCCCCCCCCCTCTCGCCCCAACATAAAAAAGCAAGCTTCCCAGCCAACGTTAAGATGTCTGAAAAGTATATCAAGAAGCTCATGAGCTGAATGCCAGAAGGCCACATTGGATTGGCGAACCTCAAAATCCCTCTCAAAACAAGGGCCGACTTTGATTTTATTACATCAAAAACGGCCAAAAAACAGACACACAAACCTAAAACGGACAAACATTTCCCCTCCGGCCCGTTTTTTTGGTTTACTGCGGTGTTCTAGGGCGGTCTGCAAGTTTTTTGCAAAAAGTTGATTTACAAATTAGCCAGTTACTTTGCTTTACATTGGCCATAGCTCTAGCCCAGAGCCCTAGCCTAGAGCCCTAGCCCAGAGCCCTAGCCCAGAGCCCTAGCCCAGAGCCCTAGCCCAGAGCCCTAGCCCAGAGCCCTAGCCCAGAGCCCTAGCCCAGAGCCCTAGCCCACAGCCCTAGCCCACAGCCCTAGCTCAGAGCCCTAGCCCAGAGCCCTAGCCCAGAGCCCTAGCCCAGATCCTTGGGTAAGCTTTAGCCTAAACCTTGGCCCAAAACGGTAACTTTGCTCCTGCCTTGCCCCAGCCTTGCCATAATTCTCGCCCTAGCTCTAATGTTGGCCCTAGCCCTAAGCGTAGTCTCAACACACAAAACTCTAAGCATATACAATTACACCTCCCCCCCCCCATCTTTTTTTTACAATTTCAAATTTCACCTAGGCCTAAATTACTTTTTTTATTTTAACTACCCAAATTAGCCCTTCCAAAACTCACGTACCCACAATCCCAAATAAAAAGTAAAACTTGGCCCCATTCCGGTAGTTTTACCGCGCTTAACCGTTGCCGAAGAAGATGTTTAGCCCTCACTTCCGGCGTCAACTCTTTTAGTTCCGTCCCCAAATTCGGCCTCTCGAAAAAACGTTTTAAAGGAGGGGGGGGGGGATTTCGGTCCGGATTTCTGATTCAATTTTAAGGCTTTTGCGAACACAAAAATGACGTTTTAATCACACTTTACACGGAATTGGATGAGCAAGGGGGTAGGGTCAACTTTAGAGTATTAAGGTAGGGTAAAGGGGGGGGGGAGTTATTTTGCATTTTGAATTTTAAGCCTACAACCCTAAGCCTAGAAGCCTCAGCCTAAAAGCCCAAGACAAAGCCCTAATATGTATAAGCCTAACCTTAAGCCTAAAAATCAAAGGCTATGCCTCAGTTTAAGATTAAGAGCTTAAGCCTAATTTTAAGCCTAAGCCCAAGATTCAACTTAAGTTTAGAAGCCTAAGCCTAAAAGTAAGCCTAATACAATGTCTAGAAGTCTAAGCCCAAAAGACACTTACGTCTAAAAGCCTACACCTAAAAACAAGCCTAAGAGTAAGCCTAGAAGTCTAAGCACATGCTCAAGCCTCAACTTCTTCCATCTTCAAGCAGTAAATAACCCAAAAATAGACAGTTTGAAATGAAACCTCGGTCGGTCGAGGAAAAAACTCAAAACTATATGATATTTTTGACGTACTGCAACATTCCCGACGGACAAGTATGAAATATGAAGCGCGGAGAAAAGTTCGTTTTTTTTGGGCCGCGGATTCGAAATTAATTTCGTCGCGCATTAAGATTGACAGACACGTGGCCGCGTACATGGTAATTAGAGGCGGACATGATTATATGTGGTGGGTTTGAAATGTTGAAAACAAAAAATTTTCGAAATAAAAAGAGATAACAAGGGAGTTGAAACACAAGTGTAATCCTAAAATTAAGCCAAACAAATGGTGAGTATTAGCCTGAGCCTGATCCTGACTCAACTCCAGCATCAAATTATAAGCTTGAAGCTAAACCTAAGCCAGATAGTGTTAATCTTAATCTGAAGACTAAGCTTAAGCCTGAGCTTAAGAATAAATCTATGCCTAATGCCATGCCTTAGTTAAAGCCTGAGCCAACTCCTGAACTTATGTTTAAACTTAAGCTTGAGCCTAAGCCTAAACTTAAGAGTGAGTCTAAGCCTAAGCCTAAGCCTAGCAGCCCAAGCCTAGAAGTTTAAGCCTAAAATACCAATAACTTTCATTCCACACTATAAACTAGAAAGAACTTCCTGCAAACTATACCCTATACTATAATATAAATTACTACCTACCCTTTAGCCTATAATAACATAAATTACCCACCAACCCCCTCTAGCCTAGCTAAGTAAGAACCTACGTCGACAATGAGAAAATTGAATTTAAATAATCCGTCAAGAGGCTTGTTGACTCTTGCCAAATCTAATCATTCAACCAAACAGGAAATGAATCCCAAAGACTTTCTGATTCGCCGACAATAACAATTTGCTTTCACCTTATTTTTGGGGGATTATGCTAATTTCTCTTTCAAAATTTTTGAAAAAATATTGTTTTAGGTCTAGTTCAAGATTTCAAATCAACATTTTATAAAAAATGTCACAATTTCCCTCAAAAAAAAGCCAAAATTTAGTAAAAAACTTCAAAATTTTCATTTTTTCCCCAAAAAAAAGCCCAAAAAAACCAAAAACTGAGATATAAAGTTTATTGTAGTGAGGTATATAAGCTGTTAAACAGTATTTACAAACAGTATGAGACAGTTGAACATGTAAAATATACAAAATGGATTCAGAATCCGTTAAAAATCTGACAACATTTGAAAGAATCCTAATGTTAATGAGAAAAATAGGTATAAAAGTCTTCAAAAGACGTTATGAATGTTATGAAAAACTTTAGGAGACTAGTAATAAGTTACAAAAGCCTTGAGTAAACTTCTTACATCAGTAAATTCTAAAATAAGACAACAGTAACTTATACTAGACTCCAGAAGATCAAAAACAGCCTTCAGAAGACTATAACAATAATAGCAACTCTAGTACATCTCAGTCACGTTCCTGGGGATGTGTCTGGTCCTGGCGGGCTCGATCTGAATCTTCGGGCAAACTGGAGCCAAGCTCTGGAATCCGGCCTGGGAGAAGCACTGGCACAAGTCCTGAGCCTTGGCGGTGGTCCAGTTGTTGCTGATGCAAGTCTTGGCAGCCTTGATCACCTCCTGATCGGATGGCAGGTCCAATACACAGTTGAATCCGTCAGAGCACTTCGAGGTTCTGATATCAACGCATTTCTTGGTGCAGATGATGAACTGGAGGGATTGAACGACGGTCGACTTCATTTGTGGAGCATTGTAGGTCATCCAGTTGTTGAGCTCGGAAAGGACGGCCAACTTCAAGGTGTTGGGGTCGCGCTTCTGAATATCGTGTTTGGCTTCGGATGAACTCTTGGCACAGCTGTCCGCAAACTCTTCCTTGATGCACTTGACGGTGGCGTCGAATTCGGGGCTGTAGTAATCTGTGCACTTCTTGGCCTCGGTAATGTTCACACCAATTTGGGAGAGTTGAGGCTGAAATGTAAAAAATATAAATAAAAACGTTTTTAGAGTTAAAATAATCCTATTCTAAATAATTTCAACATGAAACATCAAAAAAATTATTTAAAACTAATATTACGCATGAACTAGCAGTCTCATTGAAATTTTTCTCTATACCTACAAAAATCAGACCTTTACCTCAGTAAACCTTACTCCAAAAACTACTCATATATCTTATATAACTATTATAAAACTCGAAACGTCATAAACCATACGAATTCAAACCAAAACGTATCGTTTTAGACATCAAGCTTCAAAAATTAATGTACCTCAGCAAAAATTAATCATAAAAACTTAAAAGTAGATGTAAACTAATTACATTAAAGTTTAAAAACCCCTCAACTACCTACTTATGCTTCTTATATATCAAAGAAGCCAATAGGAAAGGATAATTTTGAGCAAAAATATTGTTTTAAACAGCTATTACCAAAAAAATCGTTCGATGTCTACAACAATATAAAATCCCTTGATCAAATAAAAACAAACGCCAAACTTGTAAAAGTAAAATAAAAGTCCCTAGTTTAACTATAAAATTTAAAAAGTCCACAAAAAAGAATCTTTCCTATATTATCCTACCTATATAAACTAAAACAATGTAAAACCTCTAAAATCTAGCACAAAACCACACCAAAAACTATTGAAAAACAAAGAAAAACCCCTAATTTATCTAAAACTACCAAAAGCCCATTCTCAAAACCTCTCTTTCCATTCCATCATACCTAAAAACCGAAAAACAACAATAAAATCAACTTACTGAGCAGTAATCCGTACATTTGGGCACAGTGGCTTTGACCTTGTCCAAGCATGGCTTCAAATCCGAACAAACGCATTGATCCGACGAGTAGGCGGCCAATCCAGTCGATGCGGCAAGAGCCAGAAGCAGGAGATGAACTGAGGAGAACATACTAGTAGCTGTGTTCGATGAGTGAACTGATCTTTTCTTGGTCGACGAGGCCTATTTTCAATATATTTTGGATATCAGGCAATGTCAAATGACAAATATGTTGCGCAAATGTGAAAACAATAACAAGGTTTCGCAAAATTGGCCAAACAAGGTCAAAACAAGGTTGTTTTCAGGTCGAAATTTCGTAAATTTTCGAAAAAACAAGATTCTGTTGAGCATGTTTCAACGTATCTTTTACTTTACTTTACTTAAAACGTCAAAAGCAGGTCGCCGAGTGGATAAATGAATAAAATCTTATAAAAAATGTCAGTTTTGGCAATAAGTTTTTTTACAAAAAAGTTTTGGGTATCAAAATCTTTACAAGTTTAAATTTTAGGTAAAAAAGTGAATGTTCAGGTAATAAAAATTGAATTATAACATTTTAGGTAATAATTTTTAAAATTGAAAATTTTAGGTAACAGATCTTTAAAAGTTTAAATTTTAGGTAACAAAATGAATTTTTAGGTAATAGAAATAGAATTATAAAGTTTTAGGTAACAAATGCTCCATTTTGAACTCTTGGTCGTAGAAATGACGGTACCAAGAAATTTGTTTACTTCTGGCACTTATTTATTGCATTCTAATTTAATTATTCATAATCAGACAAACAAACCGGTTGTTTTGAATTTTGTATATTTCGGTTTTTCAATAGTATAATGTGGTGTCTAACATATATTTTTTATTGAATTGAACGTTTAGACTTAGGCTGCTAATCTTAATCTGCTAGCCGCAGGATTCGGGCTTATGCTCAATCTTACGCTTAGAATTAGGATTAGACTCAGGCTTAGGCTTAGCTTTAGGCTTGTTCTTAGGATTTGGCTTACGGTTAGAATTAAGCATAGGTTTAGGCTTAGGCTAGCTTAGGCTTGGCTTAGGATGTGGCTTAAGCTTTGGTTTAAGCTTAGGATTAAACTTAGGCTTCTAGGCGTAGGCCTCTAGGCTTAGGCTTCTAGGCTTAGGCCTTCTAAGTTTTTAGACTTAGGCTTCTAGGCTTAGGCTTCTAGTCTTAGTCTTATAGGCTTAGGTTTCTAGGCTTAGGCTTCTAGACTTATATCAACTATGTTTGTTTTGAAATTCTATACTCATACTCGTTGTGTACAATGTTGTGTATCATCATACCCATTTCTGTCGTCATAACCTACAAAACACACATGCGTAAAGCGCAAATACCAACGATTATGACAAATTGATGACAATTTGTCGTGTCGAGAATGCATTATTAAAAATTGGCAATTTTTGCCATTTTGGGCCGATTGTTTTACCGTTCCGTAATTGAGCTCACTCTTGGCACAGCTGTTTTGGCAGTTAATTGTTACTACAATAATATGGTACGAATACTTGATGATACACGAGGGGTTGGCTTTTGACTTCCTGATTCAGCTTGAGTATAATAGGTGTGAGGAGGGGTAGGGTGAGGTAGAGAAGGCGAAGAGGTTTTTTGTGTTTTGAAGGAATAGCTTTTGGAAGTTACAGATAAGGGCCGAGGGTAGGGGTTGGAAGAAGTCAGGGGTATATTGTTACGCGTAGAGGTAAAGAATATGGTATATACATGAAGAATTCAAGAGTAGAATATAAAACATTGTGTTAGATTCATCTCCAGAAGGCTGGGGAAATTTTTAAAAGCTTGGACTAGGTTTTAAAAGAGATGTAGTTTTTAGAGGCAGGGGTAGATTTTTTGATAGATTTTCTAGCGCTGGGTAGCTTTTATGAAGTAGAAATAAATTATTTGGTTCCGACATAAAGAACCCGCCATTTTTACAGGAAATTACAGGCAATGTATGGCGGGTTCTTTATGTCGGCACCTAATATCTAAGGCGAGAGTAGGCTTGAGTGGGTGGCAGAAGGTCTTATAAGGGCGGGGATTACATTAAGAAGGCAGTGGTAGATTTTGAAAAGATAAGGGTAGTTAGAGTGGGAAGTTTTAGATTTCAAAAGGTAGGGTAGGTTGGGTAGGGGTTGATTTTTAAATTTAGAAACAGGGTATAGAGGGCAGGGGTAAATTCAAACAGGCAGGGATACAAAGAGAGCAGGATAGATCATAAACGTCAGGACACATTGTGTACGGTATGATAGGGTAGGGTAGGGTAGGGTAGGGTAGGGTAGGGTAGGGTAGGGTAGGGTAGGGTAGGGTAGGGTAGGGTAGGGTAGGGTAGGGTAGGGTAGGGTAGGGCAGGGTAGGGTAAGGTAGAGTAGGGTAGGGTAGGGGAAGTTAGGGTAGGATAAGCTAGGACTATTAAAAAATTTTTTAGTACGTTTTATTGTCTTTGCTCAAACAGTATATAGAGTACTAATTGAAAGTGTAAATTACAGTTATACATACCGAAAGAACCGCTTTGCACTACTTTATATTTGTTTTTTATATATATTCGAAATGGATTAATTGGCGAATATTTGCTTAGACACTGCCCGCCAAGCCTCTTATCTCACACATATCTTTAATCGAAGTGGCATTTAAATTTGTTCAAACGTTCCAACAACTTTGCACAAGGAATGACGACTGTTTTAAGGGGTAGTGTGAAGGTGGGCATGTTTTAAATGGGGGTGGGGCAAAGTTTGTTAAATAAATGTTATGTTGGGCAGGGGCATGTGGAAAGGAGGGTGGGGATTAAAAATGATGATTTTAAGGAATTTTTAAAAATTTGCAATAACTTTCTTTACAGACCATAAAATGGCAAGAACTTTCTCTACAAAACAAAAATTGGCAAGAACTTTATTTACAAAACAAAAAATGGCAAAAACTTTCTTTCCAACCAACTGTGCCATTTCTTTATGTCATTTTTCTGATGTTTGACCCGATTGTAACGTAACGTGTCGTATCTTGATGATTTCCGCAGTTCCAAGTACTTCACGGTCAATGCGAGTACGGCACGCATTTGCATTAAATCAATGGGAAGGGCGCGAGCTAAGCCTAGCCGGAGGGGGTTTTCAGAATGTTTTTCGATGACTTTGAAGTTTTAAAATACGTAGTTGGTATGTCATTGTTATTGTTTACTTGGTATTGGTTTATGAAAAGTGCAGAAACTTTGTTTACAACACATAAAATGGCAAGAACTTTCTTTACTAAGAAAAAAATGGTAAGAACTTTACAATTTTAAAAATTTCAAATTTTAAAATATCTACGCGCCTCTACGTATTTTACTTACTGAATTTCGTATTATTTAGTGGGCGGTTCAAATTTGCCAAAAATCCTTTTGATCTCGTATTTCCCACACTCACTAAGTATATTTGGCTATTTGTCAACAAAACTTCAATTCATAAGTGAAAAATAAACGATTATTAGTCCCTGTCTTTCACTACAGCTCCAGCTACAGTGTTGTCCGATAGGAATGGTAAGCTAGCCGAATTTGGAATTTAAGATAGGAAGGAAAGGAAGAGAAAAAACATAGGGTAGGTGGAGAAAAAAAGTTTGGGAGGGGTAGAAAGATGAAATTCGGTCTGGCATGGAAGCCAGGTCTAACGTAAAGTTATCATAGTGTTAAATTTATGCTTATTATCGGCTTAGGCTTAGGCTTATGCATAGGCATAGGCTAGGGTTTAAGCTTAGGCTTAGGCTTAAGCATAGGCTTAGGCTTAGGCTTAGGCTTAGGCTTAGGCTTAGGCTGAGGCTGAGGCTTAGGTTTAGGTTTAGGCGTAGACTTAGGCTTAGGCTTAGGTTTAGGCGTAGCGGGAGCATGGCTTCAAGTAGGACCGATGTTGTGAGCGCAAAACATCCGTTATAAAATTGAGTCATGTAGTTGAAATTTTGTGATTCATTTAAAGATGTGTTCATCATGCTATTTTTTTCATTCTTATATCATATGTTTTATTCTAGCAGAATAAGCATTTTTTCGAAATTCTAACTTATTTTTTGATGATTTTTTTTAAATTTGGGCCATTTCTATTGTTACTGCCAATATTTTTTGCAAATTCCACATTTATTTCAAACCTCCAAACATTTGTTTGCAAATCCGACGCCCTCACAAGTTGCTGTCACTTGTGTCGACGTCAGCTGGTGACAACATTAAGAGTTCCCAGACATTGCAAATCCGAGGGCTTTCGCCTCATTTGCATAAAGATAAGAACCTTATTTAAGCGACGGAGTTGGATGGTTGCTACAGTAGATTCTGGGGGTATGTAGGAATAGAAGTTTAGGCTTATGCAGCCTGTGGGTGGAAAGTTATACGATGAATTTCAATTTTTTGTTTTGTAAAAAAAGTTCTTGCCATTTTATGCATTGTAAAGAAAGTTCTTGCCATTTTTTGTTTTGTAAAGAAGGTTTTTGCCGTTTTATGTTTTGTAAAGAAATTTCTTGCCATTTTTTGTTTTGTAAAGAAATTTCTTGCGGTTTTATAGTAAGTGCACTTTGAATTAGTAGCTGAACTCTTTGACGTAAGAACTCGTAATTTTTTTACCAATTGACTTAATTTGGCTAATATCAAGTACAGCATTGAGTGAATGTTGAAATGACAATTAGCCACGTAAGGAGTAATCATTGGCCTAGGGTTTGCTTTAATGCTGTCTTGGTTTAGGCATATTAGGGTAGGAGTTGGGGTTTTTGTTGAAGATAAAATGGGTGAGGGAGGGAGCGAATGATTTCGTTTTTTTGAGGGGCGGGGGAGGGGTAGACATGTATATAAAGTTGCCGGGTCTAATTTTTCGGTTTGGCCCACGGGTTGGGCTATGGTTTTGGCTTCGGGTTCAAATTTATCTTTTTTTCAGCTTTGTTTGATCTCGGACCGGGCCTCTGGAGCCTTCATCTCTAGTTCGACTCCTGGGATCACGGGTATCTCGGGCCGGACCGGGCTGAGACGGGGCTTAGTTGAATAAGGGCTTCTCTTCAGGTTAGTAAGGGAAAAACAAAAAACTTTTTTTGGAAGAGTTTTAAATTTTTAAAATTTTAAAATTTTTGTTTTTTACGTAATAAATTGGTTTATTGTTGGTTTTTTTGTTTACAAAAATTTGTTGCCAAAGCATGTATCATGTTTTGCCAATTTGATATCATTATTTACTTACATATAGTTAAGTAGCTAACTATATGTAAGTATGATAAACAATCAACAATTATCTGTATGTTTGTTTAGTCTTTTTTTTTAATTTGATACCTGTAAGAGCATAAGTGTAACAACTTGTTCCTTTTAGATTAATTCTAGTAAATAAGCAATTAATTATCAAAAATTAACAGTTATAATAGAATGTCTGATTATTACTTCTGTTCTTAATTTTTTATTTTGACAACAAAATTTTTAATTTGTATTATCGTATTACATTTGTCACATTTTTTTACTTTTCAAGGCTTAGATATTGTACTAGGTCTTTTCTATAAATTGAAGAGAAAAATTGTTTCAATATCACAAATTTAATCTTAAATATGACATGTCATGCACAGTTTCAATCTATTTTTCATTTTTCATGATGTGGCTAAAACTTATATTGACGATAAGTCTAGGACTAATTGTAAGGCAAGAGCTTAGACTTAAATTTAGGCTTAGATGAGAGCTTAGGTTTAAGCATAAGCATAGGCTTAGTATTAGGCTTAGAGTCAGGTTTAGGTTTAGGAAAAAACATAGGCATAGGCTTAGGCTTAGGCTTAGGCTTAGGCTTAGAGTCAGGTTTAGGTTTAGGAAAAAACATAGGCATAGGCTTAGGCTTTGGCTTAGGCTTAAGCTTAGGCTGGAGCTAGGGCTCTGGACCAGGGCTCTGGGTGTAAGCTCTGGGTTAGAGCTTTAAGCTAGGGCTCTGGGCTAGGGCTATGGACTAGAACAGAGATAGGCTTAGGGCATGGCAATAAAACCTCGAAAAACTCTGCAATCTTAATAAAATGTGTAAGAACATACACACATACATCTGCTGATACGTTTAATGCGTGGTATGTAAAGGCACCGACTATTTTATGGCCATGAGCAATTTATTTTAATTTAAAAAAGGTTTTCAAAACAATTTTTAAGGATTTTTTGTTTTACCAAGCATGTTTACATAAGAGTAAGCTCTTATACAATGTCATCATTCTTTATGGTTAACAAGATACCACCAGAGGGGTTTAATCTAGTCAAATTGACAAATTTTATTACCCAAACACGTCTCAAAGCGCCAAAAATTAGCAGTGTATTTTAAAAGTTTGTTAACGTTCTTGGCTTAAATTGGGTTTTGAAACGTTCGTGTTGACATGTGTAGGTGGTAACGAGGTTTACATGGTGTTGTTTTGCAAGAAAAAACAATGTTTGTGTTGTTGTAGAGCTGTAATTTAATTTGGTAGGATAATATTAGGCTTTGCATTCCAAATAAACTGGCTCCGGGCTCTAGCCTCAACTCAGAGCCATAGCCTAAAGCGCTAGCCCAGAGACCTAACCCAGAGCCCTATCCCAGAGCCCTATTTCGGAGCCCTAGCCCAGACCCCTAGCCCAGAGCCCTAGCCCAGAGCCCTAGCCCAGAGCCCTAGCCTTATCCTTAGCCTTAGCCTTAGCCACCCCTTTTTTTGAAGTATAATACATTTTAAAAATATTTTTGTCATCGTGACGTGATTTCAAACTATATTACTGTTTTTACTATATAGTCTCAATAACTAATATATAATTCAATTGTAATATATATATATTCACCAACTTTACCCGGTAATTCAATAAAATATTTAGTCATTTCCAGGTGTTCACTCTTGGCCATTGTTTTATTTTATAAACCGAAAGCAGAATGCGAGTCAACGGTTTCATACAAGCTCTGTTCGTCCTCTTAATCGTGGCATTGGTGCAGGCACAGCCTTACGTCTACCGACCCTACAGACTACCCAATGTAAGTATCATACACTATAATATAATATAAAAATTTATGCCAATATAATATAAAAAGTAACGTCAATTTTGAAAAAAGTAAAAATTTTGTCATAAAAAATGTCATTTTATCTTCTGGAAAGAAAGTTTTTGCAATTTTAACGCAAATTTAAAATTTTTGTGTTCTGCAACCTGCGGATGACAACTTATACGATAATGAGCTTATATTTGTTTTGTAAAGAAAGTTGTTGCGATTTTTGGTTTTGTAAAGAAAGTTCTTGCCATTTTGTGTTTTATAAACAAAGTTCTTGCCATTGCATGGGTTGTAAAGAAAGTTTTTGTCATTTTTTGTTATGGAAAGAAAGTTCTTGCCCTTTTTTGTTTTTTAAAGAAAGTTCTTGCCATTTTACGTTTTGTAAAGAAAGTTCTTGCCATTTTTTGTTTTGTAAAGAAAGTTCTTGCCATTTTTGTTTTGTAAATAAAGTTCTTGCCATTTTTTTTTTTGTAATAAAGTTCTTGCCATTTTTGTTTTGTAAAGACATTTTTAAATAATGATTTTTCATTTCCAGACCGCCTACCCATCGTCAGCGTATCGACCGGTCGCGAAACGTGCCAACGCCGAGCTAATCAACGGCCTAATCGGCATGGACTTGAACACATTACAAGCGGTCGGAAAACGGTCGAACGCCGAACTCATCAACGGCTTGATTGGCATGGACTTGAACCGATTGTCGTCGATCGGCCGGAAATAGCCAGCGGTTTTCGAATAATGGGAGAAAAACCGGAGAGATTTTCGTTTCGAGACCCAAAAATTGATTGTTTTGATCGCCTTCAGCTGCATAAATAATACTTTTGTTTGTTATACATAGTGTGCTGTGCAATTTCGCAAATTCTTGTAGACATTAAATTGTAAATTTGTGGTTTTGGGAGGAGATAGCAGTGAAAAATGGCAAAAACTTTGACATTGATGGAGATTTCAATGTTAACATCAGTTTTGATGGTGAAAACAATTAAAATATAAAGAATGACAAAGTAAATGCAAAGTATTTTATTTAACCTTATAATTCTACCAAGAAACCTAGTTTCAATTTCCAAAACCGGCCAAAACCCTTCAAAAACTAAAAACCAATAATCTTTCCGACATTCCGTTTCCTTTTCCGATAATTTCGTGGCTTTTCGTATTTCTCCCAATAAAATTTCATTTTTTAAGTGTTACTCTTTCCTTCTCGTTCTTGTTGTTTATCCTCGCGACCTCCTTTTCATCAGATTTTTTGGAATACTGCCGGAACTTGTGGAACGCGAGTTGTTATCGAATTTTCCGCGAACTCGAAGGAAACAGATGGTTATTAGTCATAGAGAAGGTTAATATTACTTAAAAACGGAGAATAGGATGTGGTCGAGGTTGCAGAGAGTATAAGGTTTGGTATTTTTATTTCTTTTTGTGTTCTTAGATACATTTTTGATTCCTGAGACTTGAAGGTGGATGAGGGTTTTGGTCGATTTTATTGTTTTTAACTAAAATACGGACCTGCAATTTTTAAAATAGCTTGAAAAGACATAATTTAATGTATAGAAAAAATTTGGATATGTAAAAATGGTAACTTTATCAGTTATGAATTTTTGGCGACGTTTTAGAGCTTAATGCCATGAATAATATCATTAGTGGTTGCTTGACCTGAATAAGATATGGGCGATGGGTTTATAACGTTTTTATAGATTACTTATTGCTTCTGTAAATTTTCAATTTATGAGTTATTTAAACTCAAAAGTTATGGCTATTTTTTCCGACACAAACACCTATAATTAACATGCATAACATCGAAAACGTTTAATTTCCCTCTCACTTTTGTGTTAAACTCATCTCCAACGTATGCAAAAACCACTGTGTATTCAATTTGGTTTATTCAATATGGCGTGAAAAACAATACTCTGAAAACCCCGCTCTTAATCCCCTCAGGCCGCAAAAAGGTGTGTACTATAACAAGCTTTTTCGCCCAGTGTTTTATTGTTTATACGGTTTTTTTTCTGTATTTGAGCTGATAAGGTTGTTATTTGTTGGTCTTTCAACGGAGGAGTTTTGAAATGTCATTTTTTATTAAGATTTGCGGATGTTTTCATGGATAATATGCTGTTTTGATGGTGAAGATGAGGTTTTTTGCATATTTTTGAATCTGAATTCTAAAAAAGAACGTTCATATTTACGTACAAGGTTCAAGTGTCTTTAATGAACAATATTCAGCTTGTTACAGCGAAGTAAAACCTGTGTAACCATTAAAATTACACTTATTTGTTCACCTCATCATAACCGGTTTTGCGCGAAATTCTCTAAAAATTGATCGTTATTAACGCGATAGAAGGTCAAGTTTTGTTGCTATACTAATTAGTGTTCCTTTATTATTCTAGTATTCAACTTGGGCCAAGGTTTTAAAAATTTAAAGGGTTTTGGCCAAGGAACTGGCAGTTTATCGACTTTGGCAGCGATTTTGGGACATTAAGGCTGATTTGCACGGTGCGTTGACGTGATGGCCCTGCCGTCAGACAGTGGACCGGATGCGAGATTTTATGTAAGTTTGGTCTTTACAACTTGTTCCGTATTTTGCTTTAACATATCTTTCATCGTATAACAAACCGTGGGCGCAGCTTAAAGTTCTCGAAAATTAATTTTTTCGACAAAATGTGACCAAATTCGTATGAAAAACGATCTTTACTGATAAGGTTTCGTAACAACCTTTACAAATTTTATCATTAATGTCTAGAATAAAGTCTTATCTTTCTTTACGTATCAATTTTTAGTTTTTAATCATTAAGTTTACTTGATTTTTAACGAGTTTTGTCAGTACAAACGCTAAAAATTGGCCATGTTGAGCGAGATTTCGTGAATAATTTGAAGGTTTCTCGTTCGTTTTTTAAAAAATTGATATCAATTGGCCACAGAACAGTCAGGGACTTGTTTATTCAGACAGTGTGTTTTTTTTTAATAATGTACTTTGGCGAGTGAACGTCTGTTTAACCCAATTTTCACTGCGATTCTTGTGATTCACTTGGAACTTTTGACCTTTTAATGTTTCTCGGGATTTTTAGACAGGTTTTCTGGATAATATAATTGGCTTTTTGAGCTGAATTGTTGGGAAAATGAACGGCTATGTTATAGTAATGAATAAGAAATTAGAAAGATCAGCTGCTTTACATAAAAATGACTTTTATTGAGGAACGTGAGGTGTCGTCATGGATAATATAATATCTTTTGATTGTAAATAGAAAATGTGTTTCTTTTTATTTCATTGTGGTGTTTAGATATTTTTCCTTTCAATAGTTATTAACTTTCGTTTTGCATATAAATTTTCACCAGACCTCCTATGGTCTGGAGAGGGCCCTACGGGCCCTCCACTTTTACTTTTACTTATGCTTTACTTTACTAAAATTATTGTATTTTAAATTTGCCAATTTTAATACAGTTTATAATATTCAAACTAATCGGCTCGGGCCTGCGGCTCTCGCACCACTTTTTCACTTAAATATTGTAAATGATCCATACCCGCCGTACCCTAACCCGTACCCATTCGTACCCTCATGCCATACTCATACCCATGCTGTACCCATGCCATACCCATACCCGTACCCATTGCATACTCATACCCAAACCCATGCCATACCCGTACCCACCCGCACCCAATTCATACCCATGGCGTATCCATGCCATACACATAGCCGTACCCATGCCATACCCATAACCATACCCGTACCCTTAGCATACCCATTGCATACCCATACCCGTACCTATTCCATACCCATGCCATACCCGTACCCCTGACAATACCCATATCTACCCCCGTAATGATACCCGTACCCAAACCCATGCCATACCCGTCTTATTCCATACCCAAATCCATTCTATACCCATTCCATACCCGTGCCAATACCCATATCTATCCCAGTACCCATACCCGTACCCAAACCCATGCCATACCCGTCCCATTCCATACCCAAACACATACCCATGCCATACCCGTACACATACCCATGCCATACTCGAACCCACCCACCTCCGTACTCTTACCCACGCCATACCCAAATATTTTATATCACAAAAAATAGTACCATATTCAAAATAGTATCAAAAAACGTACCTACATATTCATGCCCAAGACATTTCCAACCCGACCGCTCACTATCGAAAATTTTATAAAACTGACTGATTTTTTTCAAAATTTTAACAAATTTTTTATTTTTTACTGAATTTCACAAAAATTTGCATGACTCTCTCACTCAGTACAGATGTACTCTTATTTTGGCTTCACATACGGCTCTGCATTAATATAGGAGAGAGTAATGTTAAAGCTTATAGTAGATCTGATATGTAAGATAATATTTCAATGGTTATTTGGAACAATGTAAATGTAATTTTGGAATGAAAGGCTATTGAAAAGAACTTTTTGTATTATTAATTAAAATTTGTTTGCAAGGACAGGTTTATATACATTTTTTTGGCTTTTTTTCAGGAAACATGGGTCTAATATCATGGATAATATGATAACTTTTTATTATTGATTCAAAATTTGTTCTTTTTTATTTTGAAAGCTCTTTATTGTATTGTTCTTTGATTTCAAAACAAACTCTAGGAAATTTAACTGTTTGTTTCTTTTTTACGACGTTATATATACTTTAGGTATTGCAATATCTGATTTTAGATGCAAAATTCGACAGAAGAGCCGGACCGCGAAGCTAATGTTGTCGTAGCGGCAGGAGTACAACCACAGCACAATGAGGGCAGTCATTTGTTCGCCGAACGTACTCCAACGGCACAAACCATCACGTCGGAGCAGGCGTTCATGCACATGGTTAAAGCAATGTTGGGAACTGGGTTATTGAGCCTGCCATTGGCTTTCAAGCATTCTGGACTTTATGTAAGTTGTATTTATTATTTTGTTGTGTTTTTAGGTACTAACCAATAGGTTTGATACTGAAACATCCGTGTTACGTGGCTAAAAGAAGAGATATAGCTGTAAATTGATGTATAATATAGAAAAAAGTTTATAAAAATATTGTTTTCAGCTCGGAATGATTCTACTGGTTCTAATATGTTTTGTATGTTTATACTGCATGAGACAGATTGTATACGCAGCTCATTTTGTTTGTGCAAGGTAAGTTGTATTAATTTTTGTTTGGATTTTTAGGTTAAGTCGAAGATTTTTCAAAAATGGTGATAACTTTCTTTCAAGTTTTCGAAAATGAAAGACCTTTTGTGAATAGTAGAAGAATTACAAGAACTTTCTTTATAGGACGAAAAACGGCAAGAACTTTGTTTTAAAGTTAAGAAATGGCAAAAACTTTCTTTACTGGAGCTAAAATGACCAGAACTTTTTTATATGAACGGAAAAGGGCAATAATTTTCTTTACAGCATATATAATGACACGAAAAACGTATTTTAGTATCTTTTACGGATTTTAATACAATTTTTTAGAAACGGCCGAGAAGCCATTGACTATGGCAATATCATGAGAGGTGCAGTGGAAGCCGGTCCAGCTTGGATTCGCCATCACGGCTATTTCTTCAAACAACTAGTAAATTGTAATGTGTTTGTAGCTCAACTCGGCTTCTGTTGTGTATATTTTGTCTTTATGGCCGATAATTTGGAGGACTTTTTTCGAAAAAACTTGAATATTGTACTGCCCAAAGCCATTTGGATGTTAATCATATCAATCCCGGTCCTCGGATTTTGCTCAATTCGAAAACTGTCAAAGCTGGCACCGTTTGCCACAGCTGCCAACATTATCTACCTTGGTGCGGTGTCGATTGTGGTCTACTTTTTCTTTAATAACTTGAAATCGACTGATGAACTGACGAAGTGGGGCGAATTGAGGGATCTGCCATTGTTTTTTGGAACTGTCATGTTTGCTTTCGAAGGCGTTTCAGTGGTAAGAATTTCATTTTTATCTGCTTGTTCGAAATTTAGGTAAAAGAACCGAGGAAATGATCTTAAAATGGCTTTTTCGATATTATAGTAGACATTTTCAGATAATGATTATCGAAAATCGAATGCAATCTCCTCAAAACTTTATCCAATGGAACGGTGTCCTGAACACATCATGTATGATGGTCCTCGCCATCTTCTCCGTTATTGGATTCTATGGATACTTGGCCGTAGGCGACGATGTAGCCGATACTGTAACGCTCAACCTCCCAGACGAACCTTTCTTTCAAATCCTCAAAATCATGTTTGTACTCTGCGTTCTAGTATCATACCCAATTCAATTCTTCGTCCCATTGGAGCGAGTGGAAAAGTTTATCAGTCGGAAATGCCCTCCGGAAAAACACACTCAATATATGTATTCGGCGAGATTTGGCATCGTTATGATAACATTGGTCGTAGCAGAGATGGTACCACATCTAGCTCTCTTCATAGCACTCATGGGAGCTGTGGCGTGCTCAGCCCTGGCTCTACTGTTCCCACCAATGATCGATCTTCTCGTGGCATCGGCTAAAAACGAGCTGACATCCGTTTGTTACCTAAAAAACTTTGTTTTACTTGGATTCGCTTTGTTAGGCTTTACTACTGGCACATATTCCGCATTGTCAGACATCGTCAAAACTTTTGAGCCTCAGGAAATTTGAATTTGAGCTGATTTTGAGGTAGATATAGGGAGGAAATGTCATTTTTTGAAAAAATTTTGGGATTTTTAGAGGAAAAACGTCATTTTTTGAGTGTTTTAGGAAAGAAAATAAGGTTTTTGGATTTGTAAAGATAAGATATATCTAGATTAAGGTTTTCTTTCAAGTTCTTCAAATGGAGTCTAGGCTATCATTGTGTACATTTCGAATTTAAATGAATTTTTGTATATTGTAGTATACGGGATTTGTGTTGTAAGTGAAATTAGTATTTATATAGGTGTAAATTGTGTCTATTCAGCTCTTTTTTTAATGTAAAATACGTTTTATATAAAATTTTCTTTAAAATTGTTGTATCAAAACGACAGTAATGTAAATATTGTGCATCTTCTATTCTCCTATTTATATTGTTGTAGGTGACTTTTCTTATTTTAAAAGCTTCTTTTAGTTTACTGTGTGATTAATTATACCCGTTTGATATTGTTTATTATTTTTTTAGCTTTTTTTCTAAATATAAATGATAATTTTGTGATAAACGAATAAATGAATACGATAAAGGTGGTTATTTTGGGTATAAAGCAATGTAAATTACTCAAATTTGGTATTTTTTGAAAATTTTTGAATTGGAAATGATTTTGGGAGTCTTGTGGAGGTATTGTAAAATACGATTTTTTAGATTTGGTTATTTTTAATCTAAAATTGAGATTTTAGTCATTTATGTCATGGATAATATAATTTTTTATGATTTAAACCCAATTTTTGAAAGTTTCTTGTTATAAAAGCTTTATTAGGGTTTTTAGAAGCTTTATAAAGTAAGGAGTACTCAAAAATGGCAGTTATTGGCTAAAAATTTCGAATTTTGGCCACAAAACTCATGAATTATTATGTCGATTTTAGTGACTTTTTATATAAAACCTGCCATTTTAAATAAAAAGTTAAAGTAAAATCCATTTTATATGAAACTACAGATGCCAACACACCCAGATCAATCCAAATCGAAAGCCAACAAGCTCAAGAAGCTAGCCAATTTCATCAGCCAAACAGTTCAATTCATCAACTTCCCTGTGGTTCGAGTGTTGGTCGACGAAAAGCTGAAATTACTGCCGGAAAAGGTAAATTTTAAAATTTTATTTTTTTAAAGAATTATTGTAGAGTTAATAAAGGGTATTTTAGTGGCTAGCCGAACACAAGAAAATGGATATTGGCAATGTAGCGAGCTGTTCAAGGGAAAAATTGGCTGAAAATGAGGAAAAAGGAGACAGATTTGGTGAGTTTTTTGGGGAATTGTGGCAAAATATGCTAGAGTAGCTTTTTGGAAATTAACATATATGGAAAGTAAAGACAATTTGGGGGTAGGGTCAAAAAAGAATTGGTTTTTGATTTCACTTTTGACCTGAGTTATATCGATTTAAATTTTTTGTAGGTATAGTGATCGGATGGAAAAAAATACAAAATTTCTGGGATTTTACGTCATATTGGTTGTATATTAACATAGCCTTAGAGAAATAGTAAAAAGTGATATTACGCAACGTTTTCTTATGTAATATTGTTCACTTTTGTAATATTTGCCTCGATGTAAAACGACCCAAAAAATGGCTGCGAGTGCTGGGATCTTGCTCTATTTTACTGCGGGGGATCAGTACTTAAATCTGCACTGAAAGCTGTAGAGTACTTAATTATTAATATTACTTATTTGCGGGAAGGTAAGCTTAAGCCTAGCTAAGTTAAGACAACTTTGTCGCTAATACTACGTCTAGAAGCCTAAGCCTAGAAGCCTAAACCTAGAAGCCTAAGCGTTGTAAACCTATGCTTTGCAAACCTAAGTTTAATAAGCCTATGTCTATTAAATATAAGCCTACTAAACCTATACTAAGCCGAGTGCCCTCAATTTTGTTAAGCCTGAGCTTCTAAGCCTACGAAGCTTAAGCTTAGTAGGCTATTTTTACGTTTTTAAAGAGTTTTACAGTAGTTCCAGTCTAATTTTACATTTTTAGGTATCAAAACTTTCTTTTCAAAGCTTTATCGACCAAACATTGTCATTATCAGCCCTATCCCAGCCAGTGGTTGATAGGAAGCATCTGGCAAATCTTAAAAGGATGAGGAAATTGTCATACAAGAAATCAGTCGAATTGGATTTGTTTGGTCAATTTTTGGTCGAAAAATGCGTGGAAAACAAAATCGACCGAGTTTTGGATGTTGGGTGCGGACTGGTAAGAACTTTCTTTACAAACCAAAAACTTTCTTTACAAAACATAAAATGGCAAGAACTTTCTTTACAAAGCAAAAAATGGCAAGAACTTTCTTTACAATAACTTTCTGACGATTTTAGGGCCATTTACTCGGCTGGATTGGTGAAAAACTGCCGAATCTGGAGCTGGTCGGAGTCGATTGTAATGACAGTTTTTGTGACAAGGGAACCAAAATTTATGGCCAAGTCAAGTTCAATGTGCTTGAAATTTCATTGGAAAATTGTCAAGATTTTTTGGATTTGCTTCAGAATACGGTAAGTCTTCTATGCCTCTAACAATTGATTTTTTTGGAATACGGTAGGAAGGTTAAATTTGGAGGGTTACGATAGGTTTAGAAAGCGCCATATGGGATTAAGGGTATGCTACCCTACCCTACCCTGTTCTCCCCTTCCCTACCCTACCTGTTCTGCATTACCTTGCCCTGCTTTACCTTAGGTACCGAAAGATACGGCATCGTTACAGTAAGCATATTAGGTTTTAAAACACATTTTATCTGCTCAACATGACTTTACTGTGCCATACTATACTCCTTTTCCTTCTAGCAAATCCTTGGTTACGGTATGTTAAGATGACATGGGCAAGCCAATATAGAGCAAATACGACAGAGAGGAGACTGGTTGCTCTTACCGGACTTGATATTAAGCTTTACCATTTGCTACTGTAACGTTTAAAGAATTTTTCTTAATTTTTAAAAATTTTTATTTTTCAGGGCAAGAGAACAGCACTGATCTCACTACATGGCTGTGGAGACCTTCAAGAGACCTTGATCAAAGCATTCCTAAAGTGTAATATTTCAAAAGTGCCATTACTATTGACTATAGGGTGTTGTTATCACAAAACCAAGAAGCCTGATAACTGGATTATAAGTGATTTCTTAAAGAACCAGCTAGGCTATGTCAATATCAATGGATCAGCGTTAAGAATGGGAGCTGAAATGAGGTTCAATGACTATATCAATATGTCTGAGGCGGAAAGGGCAAAACGATTGAATTCATTGATGATAAGGGCCGTCACTGAGGTGTTTTATCAACGAAATGGTAAGAACTTTATTTACAGACGAAAAATGGCGAGGACTTTCTTTACAAAACAAAAAATGGCAAGAACTTTCTTTAAAAAACATAAAATGGCAAGAACTTTCTTTCCAGATATCAACGCTCTAATAGAACATCGCTCAAGACGAAGAAACCTAGGTAACACCATATCCGAAGCTGCTGAAGCAATAGCATCAAGATACGGGGTCGAAGATGATGTTAAAGAGTTATGGCTAAAAGAAATGTTGGCAATTGAACAGGAATTTCAAGGTGAAAGGGACAAAATTCAACTTTTCTTGGTAAGATTTTTATTTTTTAATTATTATATGGTATTTTATATAATTTTTAAAATTTTCGAATTTTTTGTTTTTGCACCGTGCAATATTTATAAATTTTTTACACGGTGCACTCAGTTTTTCGAAAAATTGAAAAAAATGTTATTGTAAACAAAGTTTTTGCAATTTTTTGTGTTGTAAAGAAAGCTTCGGCAATTTTTTGTTTTGTAAAGAAGGTTCTTGCCATTTTAGGTTTTGTAAAAAAAGTTATTGCATTTTCAAAAAAAGAGGTTGCACCGTGCAGATTATTATAAATTTTTGCACGGTGGACTCTGTTTTTTGATAAAAGCGTTGAAAAAAGTAGTTGTAAAGAAAGTTCTTGCCGTTTTACGTTTTTTAAAGAAAGTTCTTGCCATTTAAAGTTTTGTAAAGAAAGTTATTGCCATTTCTTGTCTTGTAAAGAAAGTTCTTGCCAATCTATCAAACAATTATTGAAAATCGTGTTTCCAGGACATTCAGTACTCCCTCCAGCACGTTATGGAATCCCTAATACTATTGGACCGCGCACAGTACGTTGAAGAAAACGGTGGAACTGCGGAGCTAATTCCACTGTTCCCAACTGACATTTCGCCTAGGAATACGTGTCTTACTGTGAAACGGTAGTTGAAAATTGATTTCTATTGTTGATTTGTTACCTAAAATTCTAATTTTTCGTTGGTTTATTACCTAAAATTGTTTATTTTTTATCAAATTTTGATCTTCTTGATTTGTAAAGAAAGTTCTTGCCGTTTTACAAGATTTAAAGCCAGGTACGACTAAAATAACATTTATTTTCTCTGCAAAAACTTTGTTTCGACTCTTAAAATTTTCAAAAACATTTTTCTCAACAATGGCCACAAACCACGGTTTTTCATCAAAAAATGGCCATAACTCATTATTATTAGCTTTATTCACTCATTTCAATCATCATTACAATTACATTCATAGTAAAAAATGGCTGAAAGTATGTGTTTTTTCGATCCGAAAGATATAATATGATAATTTCAAATGTTCTCGGACATTGCCTTCATCTTTAATTTATTACCTAAATTCATTTTTTTTTCAATTTTTTGAAATTTCTTCAATGTCCGAAAACTTTTGATCAATGAAACATGAATCAAAGGTTTGTCCTTTCATTTCGCACCTTTTTGTGTCATATCTGGTCAAAAAGTGTGCTCCATCTTTGCGAAATCGACCAAATTCTGCGGTTTTCTGCAATTTTTTGGTCAAAAATCGCCAAAATCTGGCCGTTTTTCATCAAATTCCGGCCTTAATTAAGCCGGCCATATTGTAATGTTGGGAGAAGACATAAAATACAAGAAAAATGGATTGTTTTTGTCGAAGAAATGTGTCAGCGCGATTCGTATTCTCCATCTGGCTGTGGGGGCGGGGGTCGGTTTTGAATTGAGCATTTGGTGCTATTTGTCCATTTTTTGGTCCCATCGAATTGTGGAATGATATTTGTCATGATGGGTGTGTTGCCTACGGACATTGTGATACCCTGAATTCGAAATTTTTGAAAAATTTAAAAAAATTTTAAAAAAAACTTTTTTTGAAAATAAAGTTTTACATAACACTAAAAATGACCTTAATATAAATTTTTATGCTACTATCACACCTTACAAGCCTTGATAACTCTATAAAACCCAAAAAAAACTCCAAAATTCCAAAAAAAAATTTTGTTACCTAAAAAAAATTTTTTTTTCAAAATCCACCCCGAATACCAAATATGATAAAACATATCAAACCCTTACCGTTTTTTCCATGTTGAGCAAATTTCGACCATTTACCCGCCCGTTTCACAATTTCAAACTCCTGTTTGGTTGACGTTTTTCTTCATTTTTTCTATTTTCTCCGCTTTTTTGGGGTTTTTTCTTCTTTTTCTTTCATTTTTTGGGGGTTTTAAAGAAATAAAAAAATAAATACAACTGAATTCTTGTAGTTAACACTTCGTTGTTTCTGCTTTTTTAGTAGACTTTGGCGGTCTGGTCCACTTTTTCGATGCCTTCTTGGCTTTGGCCCGCCTGAAATCAGGTTTTTAGGTAATATTGGTTGGGATTTTTTGAAAAATGTTATCTTTTCTTGAAAAAGAAGACCTCAATCCAGTTACAATTCTAAATATTTTTCAAGCCGTAAACAGTTTTAAATTCGGCAATATTAACAAAAATATTATCCATGACACCAACTTGGAGATTGGTCATACTTCATCGTATAACTTGTCACCCAAAGCAAAAATTATGCCAAATCTAATAGAAACAGGATCCCAAAGTCTATTATATCGATTCATATCTAATTTATACCTATATTCTATCTACAATCTCAAATATCACTCAAAATATTATCCATCCCATAAAAACCCAAAAATTTGCACTTTTCATCGTATAACTTGTCCCCCTAAACCCGCCCTGACCCAAAATTTCTTCTCAATATACCTGATTGTTCTGGTCACCATATCCTTGCGCCGTCTGACTGCTCTGTGGTTGATTGTTATTGTTTTGGGTGTTTTTGATCGACCCACTCGACAACTTCTTGCTTACAGTATTCAGATTACTGTTTTGAGCTGTATGGTTGTTATTACTGGAGTTTTGAGTGACACGAGCTATGGGCCTGACCACAGTGACGGTTTGATTCTGTGGTAGGGATTGTTGAGCTTGGGCTGAAGTTGAGGCTTGGTATGGGTTGTGGGTGGGTTGGGTGCCGATTGGGGGTTGTTGTGGGTGTGAATCTGAGGCGGTTACGGTGAACTGAAAACATTTATATTCATCACGCTGTATTGTATTATACTACAGAGTCTTTTACACCATATAGAAGCCTTCTACCACAATATACTGCTTCACAACCATCTAAAATCCTATTCAGGCCCTATCTCCACTATGAATAACATCGAAAAGCCGTCACAAAAGCCTTCAAAAACAACATTGAAAGCTGTTCAAACTACAGTACGACTACTCGTCTACCTTGTCATTCGGGTTCCAATCGAACAGCTTATATTTTCCATCCAGATTTTCCCTATTCCAATATTGAGTCCAACTTACATAGCTTTGGTCAGTGGTTACTTGGGGATGAACGTAGGCTGGTGGTACGACGCGTGCCACCGCTGGCTGTTGGCCCATGCCGAAGGTGCTTTGGGTCATGTCCGTGCTGAAAATGGTCGTTATTAGAACATAACCAAATTTAAAAATTGAAAAAAATATTTTGACTAATTTTAGCATGGATAATATCCCAAAAGTCGTATTTTTAGTCATTTTCAATCATGCAATATCCAAAAAACATGTTTTTTAGATCAAAAAATCATTTTCCATTCCAAAATGTTACCTAAAAAGCAACAAAAATCTCAAAAAATGCTCTAAAACTAATTTTTTTCGTGACCAACATCAATTTTGTCATGAATAATATCCAAAAAATGCCATTTTTAATCAAGTATTGAAACAAAAATCACATTTTTAACATAAAAAATCATTTTCCATTCCAAAATGATACCGAAAAATCATGCATTTTTTCATTCCTTATTACCCCCTAAAAAGATATTCAAAGCCCCCAAAATTAGTCCCAAAAAACCCAAAATTAGCCCCCAAGAACTCAAAATCAGTACAAAAAACGCTCAATCAGTCCCATAATCTTACTTAAAGTACGCGATAGGCTGTAGATGGTTGGTGGGAAGCTGCTGTTGTTCGACTTGATAGTTCGGTAGTACATTATCATCATCTAGTTTTCGATGAATGTTGGCCAATTCATCTCCTTGCTCTGGGAAGTTGCGATGAAGACTTCCGGGGCTTTCGGGTACTTGTTGTGACATTGACAAGGAGCCCAGGTCCATGTTGCCGTAGCGTTGTTGGTGTTGTTGGCTGCGGATCATGTTGCCAAAGCCCTCGTCCGAGGTTGACTTGTAGAGGAATGGGTGACGGACCGCTTCTTGGGCTGTGATACGTTTGACTGGGTTGAAGTCGAGCATTCTTGTGATCAAGTCCTTGAACTTGGTGTAGTCTTCTACTGCATGGCCTGCTTCGCCGTATCTTCGGCCTAATGGTCCGCCGATTTCGACTCCTAATATGTCGTGTAGACGGCGTGTTCCTGGTGGTCTGTAGCTGGCTTTGGCTTCACGAGAACGGCGTACAAAGTATTCGCCTTCTGAAATTTGAAAATATATTGGGGCAGGTGTCATATCAGCATGATTAATATATTTTTGGTCATAAAAGGTTTTTCGTTAACCGTAAATAGCTAAAATTAAGTTTAAAATGAGCATAAAAGTCTAATAACACCTAAAAATCCAACTTTTTCCCTAAAAACTAACCCAATACCAACCAAAACTTACTGTCATTAACCGTGAAGAACCTCTTGGTCTTCGGAGAAACGTTGAGCATATGAGCTGGAGGAATACCCATGACTTCCACGATTCTCATCATCTGATCGTACTCGGAATGTCCAGGGAATAGTGGTTCTCCAGTGTGCAACTCCACCAAGATGCATCCCAATGACCACATATCAATCTGTCTACCATAGCTAATGCCCAGCAAAACCTCTGGCGACCTGTAGAATCTGGATTGGATATACTGGTAGATTCGGTTATCGTATTGGCACGACGATCCAAAGTCGATGATTTTGATTGTTGAGCGTTTTGGGTTGCAGAGAAGCACGTTCTCGGGTTTTAGGTCACAGTGGATGATGTTGAGGTCTGGCTGGGCCAAGAAGCATAGAGTGTGAGCCAATTGTTGCCCAAATTTGCGGGTCAAGTTCAAGGAGACGCCACGGAAGTTGGTGTTGCGGAGCAGATCGTAGAGGTTGTATGAGAGGAGTTCAAAGACCAAGCACAGGTGCTTTCTCCAGGTGAATGAACTTTTGAGTTTAACTGAAAATTAAAATTTAAAAAATGTCGTAAGATCACAAAAATGTTAAAAAATAGAATTTTTAAGCCACTTGCAACATAGAAAGTCCACTTTTTCAAAATTTGTTACCTAAAATTTAATTTCTTCAAAAACTGTTACCTAAATTTAAAAAGTCACTAACTGACCCAAAAATTTAAATTAGTACTCAAAAACCTTCTTTAACATTAAATTTTAATCCGAAATTTCAATTTTATTACCTAAATTCAAAAAAAAATCACAAAAACCCTTACCAACACAATTTCTAGCTTCAGAATGATGAGTATTCAGCAACTCCAGCAACTTTATCTCGATTCTCGCCTGATCGTGGAAGGGCTTCTTGTTCTTGATAATCTTCAAAGCCACATAATCATTTTCGACCATATCGAAGCACTTCACGACCTGCCCGAACGAGCCACTGCCAATCTTCTTCTCCACCTTGTAGCGGTAGTTGAAGATCTCGCCAATGGTGATTCTGTAGTCGTAGTTCTCGTCGTCCTTTGATTCCTGACTTTCTGACCGGATTTCTCCGGCAGTTAGTGGAACTAATGGGATTCGACCGGCCGGATGAACTTCCACTGGCTGACCTTGATGTGGCTGTGGGTTTTGTAGTGGGGCTGTGCGAATATTGGACATGCCAAGCATCTGGGACTGAAAAAAGATGTATTACGTCATTGGCAACAATATAAAAAAAGTTTGAGATCGTTTTCAGCCCGCTTCATCGAGTTATAGCACTTGAAAGGTATAACAACATCAAAAAATTGATGTTACACTGAAGGTTTTTAGCTTTAAGCAGCTTCCAGGTAATAAAAACAAGCTACTTTATCGTATAACAACAATAGTAACTAGAAATCAAGCCATTAATTTCATTAAAACACCAATTTTCTATATTGCACTAGACCATTTGCCCTATACCTACAAAATCTAATATAATTCATTAAACTATAGAAAACATTAATTTTCTATATTATACTAGCTACTTTTTCCAAAACTATCGCTCGTAACTCCTCGATAAGCTTATTTCTAACCAAACCCAGCTTTTTATACTTCACGCTATCAAAAATCAAGCTTATCAACACATTTTCTTCATCGCTGTCAACAAAAAGTACATGTTTCATACCTAAACATCAACAAAACACAAAAAAACTTACCATATTCGGTACAGGATTGGTTTGCATTTGTCCGATATTCAAATTTCCCATGCCCAAATTGCTAGTCTGCATTTGATATTGGTTCTGCGGTACCATCATGCTCTGATCTACACCTTGCAAGTACTGCGACATTTGTGGCATCGAGTGCACCGTGCTGAGGGTTTGTTGTTGTTGAAGTTGCTGTTGGTTCTTGGAGAGCTGTTGGCTCTTCTTCAGCGCTTCCTGACGACGCTCCTCATGTCTGCGGCGAATCTTGCGGTTGTAGTAGTTCTGAAAATATTTTGTCCGGACATGTTGCATCGTATAACATGTCAGTATCAAAATTTTTTTGAAAAAGTAGATAACAAAATAGCTGGCCAGTCTAATTTCGAACATTTTCAGTGGTAATTAAAACATCTGCTACTAAATTCCGTCATGATACATTCAAATTTATCATATTACACTAGGATCACTTATAGGTGCGGACACTTTTCATTGATAAAATGTCCCTTGCAACATATGACAAAAACTTTATGTCCTAAGTTTGCTAGTATTAATGCGCTACTATTAAAACTAATTTCACAAATTTTAGAGCGATATGCGTCTTGCTATGACCAAATCTGTGGATATTACACTAGATATCTCAAGTATAATATTTTTGGCTTGAAACACTATAAATTTAAGTTAATTCAACTTGTTCTGTTAAGAGAAAAGCGGGCATTTCTCTTCTACAACTGATTGTTACCTAAAAGCCAAGAAAAACATAAAAACCAACTCACCTCATTAATATTCTTGTAAGTAGTGATCAGGTTGACTGACAATCTCACAACAGGTCGATCCTCTGAAGTTCGCGGCTTATCGTCCACCTTTTCCTCTTTCTCCGGCTTCTGAAGTTGCTGTGGATTCTGATATAACTGCTGTGAGGTGCTGGGCTGTTGATGATCGTAATTACTATAGTAGGATCCTTGTGGAGGCTGAACTGCACGACCTTGTGATGGTGTATATTGTTGTTGATCCATCAGGCCGACGTTCCTATCTCCGTACGATGGTACTGGATTCGTGTATGAGTAATTCTGATCGTATATTGGATTCTGGACAAAATTCTGATTCTGAGCACGATACTGACTTTGGTCCATGTTCCAATTGGCAGCCGGCTGTTGTGGTTGATAATATTGTTGTGGGTGGGCCGACGCTTGCTGGAACATGGACTGGACTGGCTGTGGAGCAATTGGTTGACCAAGTCCGATCAGACCGTCCGCCGACTCGTAGTATATGCCCGATTGGGATTGGGTATACTGCGCGGGAGGCGGTTGCTGAACCTGTTGCTGTTGTTGCTGCTGCTGATCCCATTGGTCGTATTGGCCCAGTACTTGTGACATGCCGAGACCTTGGAATTGTTGCTGCAAATAGTCAAGACCGGACTTTTGTTCCAGTTGCTCCACTTTGGTAGGCTTATTTTAAACCAATTTCGAACAAAAACCCCTGGAATGGATATTGACATTAATTTTTAAAATATTTCTAACAAAAAGTAAAGTTCAAAGCTCTATTCACGATAATAACAACGATCGAAACGAATTTATATGGCAGATTTGTTACCAAAAATATTGTTTTAGGTATCAAGCTTCTAAAAAACGATTTTTAATACCTAAAAAATATTTAAAGCCTCAAAACCTAAAAATAAAGAAAGAACACACCAAAATACATAATCAGCCCTTAAGGCAAGCTTTTGCCTTTAAAGACACTACGTAAACCATCCAAAGCGTTCAAAACCAGCCTTTTAATGCCTAAAATCATAAATCGATAATTTTTTAACCTCTAAATCAATATAATCAAACCCCAAACTTGAAAATATGTAAAACAGAAACCAAACAACATAGTCAATATTAAAACCAAACTTTTACTTCAAGAATATTACCTAAAATTTCGAAAAACCCGCGATAAAATCGAATTTTGATGTTTACAACAATATTTTTAATGTAAAAAATAATAAAGCGAGCATAATAAAGCTAAAATATGAGTTAAAAAGCGTGGTAAAGGTTAAAAAACACGTCACGAGCATCGAAAAAAAGCTGCGTCAAAAATAGCGAAAAACAATCGACGAAAAGGCGCAATGTCACTTTGACACTTCGATTAATTATTGATTGGTTGAGTATATAAGGAAGATTAGAGTCAAAAGGAGAAGATAATCGACGACAGTTTAATAAATTTGTTGTTAAAATACGTTAGGGATAAAACAATTTCAAAAATTAAATTTGAAAATTTTTAAAAATCAATTTTTTTTAAAAAACAAAATTTTTCGCAAAAAATTTTAGGTAACAAAAAGTGAATCAGAAAACCGGAAATCGTGGACTGCAAACGCTCCGCTATCGTCGTGGAACACAAAACCCGATGCATTGATAACTTAATATCATCAATTTCCGGTAACGAATAATTGCCAGCCGGTTTGTACGAAGGAAGGCTAAGCACACGATAAAATAACAATTTATGTTGCGAAATTTGTGCCCTGCGGAAAAACATGACTGAGTACAAACTAGACTTATTTACGTTTAGTTGGGAGTATGTGGAAACATGTTGGAAACATGTTGTAGTGTGGAAAAGACGGTCGGCTTGCAGGTATAAGGTAGAGTCTTGTTGAACCTCAATGTTAAGATAATTGATGCTTTAACTAGAAAATAGCAAAAGCTACATAACAAGCAAAGTAAAAAGTTCAAAACCAATGTTTTCCACACCTTTTAAAACCAAAACTAACTTTTTAGGACCTAGTATACCATCAAAAATGGCAAAAAACACAGAACACTTCCAGAAATTTGTCTCAAGACTTCCTAACGTCTGCTCATTCTTAACAGTAGTGAGTCATGGGTAATGACGAAACTTTGTTTAGGTAACAAAGATAAAGACAAGATAATCCAGAGGATAAAACATCTACTACCGTTACAAAAAAATAACAACGTGGTCTTTAAGAAAATGGGTGTTAAGATGACATATAATAAAAGGTTGAAATGCTTATGAAGATGATAAGCAAAAAAAGAAAGCAAGCCTTATGAAGATGATAACTACCAACAATAAGATTATGTTGCTACTCTGTAAACATATTACCGAGCGATTGTGGCTCAGTCGGTTGTGGTACCGACAAATAAACCCTCGTACTCAAGTTGGACCGACTGTTTCGCCCGAGAACGGCCGTTTCAACCTGAGTCCGGCAGATTTGTAATTTACAAATATATATGTAAATGGGCAGTGCAGCATCTACTACTAGTGTTAAGTGTCCAAGGACTATGGCACAGCGATTGCTTGACTTACACAGGCTTTCGACTACGGCCTGAAGTCTTGAGGAGCACCTCATCACGACTTAATAGTTCTCACCGAACCCTCACCATCCCCCTCACATCTCAATCTATACATCGCCTAAGATAAAGTCATCACTATGTTCCTACATTCCTATAATCTGTACCGACAAATTTCTTGTCCACGTATAGCAAATGATGAATTGTAATGATATAAGAATAAAGTATGTTGTTTACACGTAAACACGGTAAATGGTCACTTAATGTAATAAATATGACGTGCAGGTTATAATTAGGTGTAGGACAAATAAATTATTGAGTGTAGGAAGGGAAGTCGTGGTTGATGTTTAATCAACTAATAACTAATATGGCATGATATCAGTTGTGTGAGTAATATGAGCTAAAATACAGTTGAATCAAGGCCGGGTGCGAGAGGGGGGGGTAGGAGTGTGCTACACAATTCACGGTTTGCTAGGGGGGAAGAGGTAAAAACCAAAATTTTTTTCAAATTTAAATCCCCCCCCCCTCTCTAATTCCTAGCGACGTCCTTGAGTAAATCTCTTACCCGTAACCCCATAGCCTACAATGCACGCCTACAGAATCACGGCACGTTGACAATTCTATTCCAACGTCACTTAATATAAAACAAACACTATTTTCGAAACAAAAAAGCCTCGAGAATACATAAAGCAGTCGCGAAAAGGCGTTTACCCCGGAGGCAGTCTGGCCAGTTGTGGCACGATAATGTAGAGATTACTCTGTAAATGGACGAGTAAAAATTAATCCTCACGGTTAGCGGAAGCATCTAGAGGGTTCTTTTAGTTAGGAGGTGTTTTTTGGAGCTTTTAGAGGTAGGAGAGGGCAGGTTGGTTAGCTGATTCTTTACAAAACATAAAATAGCAAGAACTTCCTTTACAAAACGTGAAACAGCAAGAACTTTCTTTACAACACAAAAATGGCAAGAACTTCTTTTACAAAACATAAAATAGCAAGAACTTTCTTTACAAAACATAAAATAGCAAGAACTTCCTTTACAAAACGTGAAACAGCAAGAACTTTCTTTACAACACAAAAATGGCAAGAACTTCTTTTACAAAACATAAAATAGCAAGAACTTTCTTTACAAAACATAAAATAGCAAGAACTTTCTTTACAAAACATAAAATGGCAAGAACTTTCTTTGCACAAAAAAAATTCTCTCCCCCTTTCCTCCTCTCTTCCCTGCCCTTCTCCTACAATATCTATCCACCTCCCTTCTTGCCTCTCCTACGTTCACTATCTTGTCTGTCCCGGACCCTCCCCCGCCCCCTCAATTAAAAAAAAACAACCCCCCTCCCCTAGTGTCAGCATGAACGTACTGAGAATGCTAATACACGAACAGTACGTAGTTTTAACGCGAACGTACGTCATTCGCGTGGTGTTTGGAAATGAAATGCACCCACTAATCCTTCTCATTTAAACGTGCGCCAAAAATACACCGCCTGAGGGGTTTGGTTTGAAAACTCACAATTAAATGCACAGTAGGACTGAGAAGGTTTGGTTAAAGATTGGAGGTTCTAGCTGAGGTTTTGTGGCTAGGACAGACTATATTTTAGTCTTCTAAGCTGGTATTTTACTTTTTAAGCCTTTTTTTAAAATTTTTTAAAATTTGCTAAAGCACATTAAAAGTGCAAATTGTATTAGTAAAAACCTCAAAAAATTTGGGAGTATAAAGTGCAGACATAAGCAGTTGTTACTGGACCGTGAAATCTTGTAAAAACTTCAAATTGAAGCTTCAAAAACCAAGAAAAATGCTAAAAACAACTAATTTTTACAAAAAAAAGTTACCAACAGTAGTGCTAAACAGTACTAAAAACTTAAACAGTGCAAAAGAGTGAGACAGTACAAAAAAGTTGAAACAGTACCATAAAGAAAATCAGTATCAAAAAGTCAAAACAGTACTAAAAAGTTAAACAGTAGCAAAAAGTAAAACAACAATGGAAAGTAAAGTATCAGGAAGTCGACATGTATATCATAGCCTAAACTAATAAATGCTCCTTCCTTTCATAATAACTTCTAAGGGTGAGGGATGAGCCAGGCCCGCTTTTTTAGCCATGGTCCGTTTTGTTTCTTCAAGGCCGACCCGGCCTAGCAATAAGTAATCAAAGATCGTCTTTGTCAAAAGATTTCAAAAACCCGGTCCAATCAAAAAATGCAAACTTTGGCCCGGCCTGGTCAAAAGAACTGAAGGCCTGGCCCAGTGAAAATGATTCTGAGCCCGGTCCGGTATAAAAAATTCAAGACCTATTTTGGCTCGGCCCTTTTTTTAAGCCAACATATAAAATTAATAACTTCCTTTAACATCCGATCTCATTCACCAAAAAACAAGTAGAAATTTCATCAGAATCCTATTACAATCTCAACCAACAAGCATTTTAAGAACCTCAATCAAACGTATATTATAATACATAACCTAAAGTATATAAAACAACAATCCATATTACAAAACAATGTACTAGTTAGAGCATAATACGCTGCCCAAAAAACACAATAGAACAGACATAATACATTGCCCAAAAACACAGTAGACCAACAAGAAAAGACCAACCATATAAACTACCCCAAGAACTATTAGTTACACCTTAGCCCAAGCACATTACACTGCCCAAACCGTAGACAATTATATTAACAAACGTTGAATTACACCGACGTCAGCGGTGTGATGCGGGTTCGCAGTAACGAAATAGTTTTAGCGAGTTGGACGAAAAAAAGCTGTTCCACTGGCATCGCTCTCTCCACACAGACACGTTGAGGTCTGGGTATGCGCTCTCTCCACATAGACACGTCTATGCGGGCAGACACATATACATGGCTATGTCTGTGTGCGTCTGTCGCTTCTTTGCGTAGAGTATGTCTCTCTCTTGCTTTTGTGGATATGTGTGTGTGGATGTGGGAGAGAGACAGAGAGGGAGGAGAGAGAGAGTGAGGGAGAGAGAAGGGAGAGAAACAGAGAGACAAAGAGAGAGAAAGACAGAGAGAAAGAGAGAGAGAAAGAAAGGAAGACAGAGAGAGAGAGAGCGAAAAGAGAGCGAGAGAAAGAGAGAGAGTGGATGTCC